TATTCATATCTGGTTTAGTGCAACTGCGGTGCACAACTATTTATTTATGTAGCTATACGTTTAAAATATTTTTTATACGGTTATATCTGAAAAAAATCGGCCATACGTACTGAAAGAAAATTGAATTTAATTGCAATTAATTGCAATTATTTCGTCATTAATTGAGTTTCAATTATTTTTGTGATAATTTAATTGCAATTAATTTTTCGGTAGGCCTGATATTTATAACACCATGTTATATAACATCTTATCACGTGATATAGTATCAAATAAAATGTGTTTGATGTTACACAAAACTGGTTACACAAAACTAGTTATGCCAAACTGGTTACACATAATTAACTATACAAAATTGGTTACACGAAATTAGTTACACAAAATTGGTTACACAAAATTGGTTACATGAATTTGGTTACACATAATATATTATACAAAATACTGAATAAGTTAGACGACATAGATTGTTACACAGAGTCATATTAATGAACAATATACAAATATGTACGTACAGTGTGGGAAATCTAAAAACCTCAATTACTTCATATAGAAAAAAGGTTAACTAACATATTGGAGGGAAACTAAATTAGCATGCTATTATATACATATTGTTCTTTGCTTATTGTTTTTATGTGAAGAGATTGAAAGTGTTTTAAACTCTTCGCTTATTGAGATCGATAATTTAGGAATTTTATTTTCTGTATGCCACTAGTTTCACTAACATATGCATTATTTCTACATAGAGACATTAAAGTTTTTAAATTTTCAGCACCACACGTACGTTCGAAGATACATTATTGAAGTTTTTAAATTTTCAGCACTACACGTATGTTCGAAGATACGTTACATACAACTTAGCTATATAATACCAAATGAATATGGTCTAAAAAATATTACGCATTAAACACAAGATCTCTTTATTAAAACCTTATTAGCATCATCTTGACACTGAAACATACTTGTTGAAAAAAGTTAAATGATTATAACTGATTGTCTTATAGTATAAATAAAAGAACATCGTTAGTATCAATACAAAAGAGATGCTTTTTTTTTTTTAAAAAAAAAAGAGTATCTAACTTATACATATAAAAAAAAAACATCGCTTGGATTTACCCGGCACTTTAATATAAAAGAAAGTTGCTTTTTTTTTTATAAAAAAATTGCTTGTTCAATAACCTAGAAATGAAAAAAAACTTTATTAGCACTTATACTAATTTTAATATAAAAGCATAGCAATATGAAAATTATCTAAGTCCTACCTTAATGTGAAAGAAAACCTTTTTTTAAAAAAAAAACGTTATTCGGTAATATCCAACGAGAAAAAAAACTTTGTTTTATCTAATATAAAAAAGAACTATTTTACCTTAATATGAAAAGAAGCATTATCTAATAACTGCTCATACCCTAATATAAGAAAGGTACTTTGTTAGTACCCATTTAGCCCTAATATAAAAAAAAATGTTATTAGTACCTTATACTAACTCTAATATGTAGGAAAGATAGCTTAATAATAAATACTTGCCCATATTATGTTATAGTAATTAGCGTTAGAGTGTCAATAAAAATTTTTCACGAACATGATTTTCAGCTTTCTCAATTGAACACAATCTATTGCATATGCATACAGACTTACCGCTACTTTTCCATATTTGATTTTTTTTTTGGCATGTATTTTGATAATGGTTAGGTTCATAGCAAAATCTACAAAGTCTTGTGCTTGTACTTGATTTAGCCTTTTTTTGTCGGCTGATAATCTTCTTGTGCGCCTTTAAGCCATGTCTTTTTTGGAGCTCCCTTTCCGACATGCCGTAAAGGATTAGCAATATCATCGATATAAATTCGTTGTTCATTATCGGTTTCTACAGTTAAAACATTTCTTGAATTATAATTCTCTTTAAGAGCTCTCATTTCCCTTTCCTTAGTTTCTTTTTCACACTGAAGAGTTTTTCTTTCAATATAATTTTTTAGAAGAGTGTCCAATTCGTTATCATTTTTACCATCACCCTGTAATGTAATAGCTTTCTTTGCAAGGCTCATCGATTTGTTAAACTGAAGCTTTTTATCTTTAGAATTTTGAAAGTTATTTTCCTGAATATCGTCAATTCTAAGTAAGTTCATATTTGTTGCATTACTTAATTGATGCATAATCGGTACTAATTCAATATTTCGATTTGATGATAAAAATAGCTCTTGAGCACGTTCATATTCAGTCACGTTATTCTTACACCATCGAATAGGCAGCAACATTATATGAAATCTTGCAAAACCCGATTCAAGTAATACTCAAAAAAAATGCTAACACACGAGCCCATGACTAATTAATAAAAGGCAAGTACATAAATGACATCCACTTTCATATAATATAACATAATGAACAGACTTAGCCAAAGTCAAGCATATAATTTTCCAAACTTCTTTAACAGAAAAATAATTATTTTCTTTAATTAAAGACAATAAATATGAATACGAAACATCATATGTATTCTCAATAAAATCATTGTCAAACATAGTTTCTTGTAAATTTAATGAATTGTCAGAATCTCATGACTGTAAATAGAACTGGTTAAATATACAGTATAAAATGTTTAAATAAAATAACTTCAAATATTACCTATATCCAATATTTAAGCCCGATATAAAGTAGATTGAATTATCTGCTTTTGTTGCTCAAGTGCTAAATTTGGTGTTAAGTATTTATTTATTTGTTGAACAATTTGTAGAAAAATAGACTATAAAACAATGTTATCATTATAGTTAATTCGGTCCTGAGACCACAAATTAAAACGTTGATTAAGACTTTCACGTTCAATATGTTAATGTATTGCTTCCATTACTTGTAGTAGTGTTGATGAACTATTTATAGCGGTTTTAATAAGATTATTAAGTCCTTCAACTCTTTGAGTTGATTGCATTCCACCGGTAAAAGTTCTAAATGTATAAGCACATGCCCATGATTCCTTGATTAAAAATAACTTTTGTAGCTACAAAGATGCGATTGGATATTTATTCAAAAGATTTGTAAATCGTGTTTCAAATACATTTTCACTCAAACTATTGTGTGCTAAATAAAAATCTCTAATAAAATCCGCATACTGTTCATCAAGCTTACTGTGAAGATTCTTTGAAATATTTTGGCTTAAATGGTATAAACAAAAAAGATGCTTTGTATCCGGAAAATCATGAGCCATAACATATTTTATAGAGAGATATTCATTGGTCATCAAAATTCTTGGAGAAATTCCAGTTGCTTTTTTTAACTGTTGCATAACCCAACAAAAAGATTCAATAGTTTCATCAGGCATTAGAGCCTGTGCTGCAATTCGTGTTTTATTATGGTTATCAACCAAGACAAAAAGACACAAAGGAAAATTATAATAATTTGTTTGGGCCATATTATCTTGTACTATTATATCACAAAACCAAATCTATCTTTCTCTTTGACCTGGGTCTATCCAAAAGATACCACAAAGACAATTACTAATAGAATCGATTAAGGGCTCAATATACCAATTGGGATCATTGTCTCTATATTCATAAAGCTGTTTTAAAAGGCGTGATGCATCACTTTCTTCCACTTTATGCTCTCATTGTAATTGAGCCACAACATTAGCCATATCACAGGTTAAAAATGCTAGTTAGGGTATTTAGCAGATATAAGAGACCGAATTGTTGACAAATTACACCGACCATTCACTACTAAGTGACGAATTTCTTCACGACAATCATCAGAAAACCGGTGATTTGCAGGTGCAAAAATGTTGGTATCCGGGAAAAGTTGATGTTTAACATGGTGATCATTAAAACTAGTAATGCAAACCACGCCAGTTGCAGATGACAAATTAATTCTCCAATTACAATCAACTTTTTTAAAGCCTTTATTATGTTGATTTTGTAAGTTATCAACTTTTTTTGGTTGATATGTTCCACCAAATTCACATTTAAAATACAAATTCGTTAAACATCTAGCATTATCAGTTTTATTACATATCTTAATTGCTACAAATCCTTTTTGACAGCCATACTTAGCAATATAATGTTCTGCAATTGGCCAGTTAGGAAAGCTATTGCCAATGACAAATACTATTGGCTTGTTAATTTGAGGTAATGAACCATTAACCCCAACCAAATCTTGCCCTTTATGGGTTTCATTGTCTACTAATTCTTGAGGAAAGTTCACTAATTCTTGAGAGAAGTCCACTACTTCTTGAGAGGAGCCCACTACTTCTTGAGAGAAGCCCACTACTTGAGGAGAGTCTGTTGCTTCTTGACGAAAGTCTACAAATTCATGATCAGAATCCAATAATTCTTGGAGAAGAGGTTCAAATCTAAGGCTTTATGTCCTATAAATTGATCTGAGTTGAAAATAGATTCCATAACTTGTTATTTGATACCTAAAAAGTAAAGATAAATTAGTATTCAAAGTATTTTTAGACTTATGAATATAAACACTGTAATATATCATACCACTATTCCTAGAACAAACTGATGATTAAAGTGTGCACTCTTATGAAGACAAAAAAATAAAGTTGTCTGCAGTGAAACCATTAGTATCTTTATAGAGTGGGAAGTGCCACCTGATACCTTTCTAATAGCCAAAAGAACTCTCTAACATATTCATAAAGCAGAGAAGAACTCGTTAATAAAAGTTCAACTTACTCAATACTATTATGAGTGCAAAACTACCTGAGATTTAATTAAAGTGAGACAAACAGCCAACAAGAGAGAAGGCACCTGGCATTTTTATAAACAGAAAGTACCATCAAGAAGTTCAGTTAACTTGAAACTATCGAATCAAAAAAAAAAAAAACAACGTTCACTCAAAAAAATTCACTACACCTTTGTAAAGCGAAATGAGCTACCAAGTGCCTTGAGAGAACTATACAAGAGAGAAGACACTGGAGTTTAGTTAACCTGAAACTATCAAATCAAAAAAAAAAACAATGTTCGCTCAAAAAAATTCACCACACTTTTGCAAAGCGAAATGAGCCACCAAGTACCTTGAGATAACCACACAAGAGAAAAGACACCAGAGTTCAGTTAACTTGAAACTATCAAATCAAAAAAAAAAAACAACGTTCGCTCAAAAAAATTCGCCACACCTTTGTAAAGCGAAATGAGCCACCAAGTACCTTGAGAAAACCACACAAGAGAGAAGACACTGGAGTTCAGTTAACCTGAAACTATTGAATCAAAAAAAAAAAAAAAACAACGTTTACTCAAAAAAATTCACCACACTTTTGCAAAGCGAAATGAGCCACCAAGTACCTTGAGAGAACCACACAAGAGAGAAGACACCGGAGTTTAGTTAACCTGAAACTATCAAATCAAAAAAAAAAAAAAAAACGTTCACTCAAAAAAATTCACCACACTTTTGCAAAGTGAAATGAGCCACCAAGTACCTTGAGAGAACCACACAAGAGAGAAAACACTGGAGTTCAGTTAACCTGAAACTATCGAATCAAAAAAAAAAACAATGTTCGCTCAAAAAAATTCACCACACCTTTGTAAAGCAGAATGAGCCACCAAGCACCTTGAAAGAGCCACTCAATACCTTCGTAAAGCAAGAAGAAACACACCAAACACCTTGAAAGAACCACGCAACGCTTTTGTAAAGTGAAAAGACACCTTGATTTTTTGTAAAAGCAGGAAATGCTGTTAAAGGAATTCAATTAACCTTCCATTTTCTGAAACCTTACAAATTGAAAAAACTAATGTTGATTAAAACAAGAAAGCCACCATACCTTTATAAAGCAAGATAAGCCACAAAACACTTTGTAAATAAGAAAGAACCTTATAAACCTTTGTAAAGCAAGACACTTGGTATTTTTTAAAAGCAGAAGTGCTATTAAAGGAATTCGACATGAAAAAAAAAACCAACATCTTGAGTAAAGTAAGAAAAGCCACTGCACCTTTTGTGAAATAAGAAATGCTCTGTAAATAGAGAGGGCCACCCGACACTTTTGTAATAGTGAAAACCACCCAACACCTTCGTAATAGAGAAAACCGCCCAACGCCTTCATAAAGTAAAAATTCTAGCTATTTATTTGATCGACAAGTCTATATATACTAAAAATTAAATCAGGTGATATGGTGCGACATGTAACATGGTGTTATAAGTATAATATTTCTTATATAAATAAAGAAGAAAGTATATAGTCATGAAGACTAAAATGCTTATATCTCACGATCTACTGGGCCAATTTTAACGTTTTAACCACCATTTTGATCGCAAGACAATATTATATAATTTTAATTAGAAGCTAAAAAGAGATTTACTAAGTAAAGATTTAAAAATTACAATATTTTGTATAATTTTATTAATAAAATTATGGAAAATATTAAAATTCACAAAATTATATTAATTAAATCTACCTTTATACTCTAAGTAAACTGATTCTACGCATAAAAATACATCATGTTGGCATACGTTTACCTTATAATTTTAAATTTTAAGAAAAAAGATGCTTAATTTTAAAATTTTGATCAAAATTTCAAA